GAATCTACATTGATATATGTGTAAATTCAAAAAATACGCACTGAACAGCACTTATTCCCTTCTTTTCATCGCAATTAAATTTTTGATTAAGTATATTCATTTATAACGATCGTTGTGTACATGCATTGACATACTGCTCTGATAGTGACGTGGTCGAAGCCGCCATTATTTACATTAGCGTCAGAGAATTTGAATTGGCAATCAAGGAGAATAAGAAGTCTGCTAGCATCCAGATATAAAGGATCCCAAATAGATTCCGTGTTTCTAGATGTTGAAGGAACCAAACAATAGCTGTCATTGAACAGTCATCTCGCTGAAGCGTGAATGGCGCCATATTTGAAACAGGTACTGTATCAATCCGCCGAGCCTTTTTGCATTGCGTATCCGCTAATTTATACACAGTCAGAGTTTACTAAGCTGAAGAACGGAGAGATGTAAATATATCGCTGTGGTTTAGTATGAGCATGTGCTGTTAGCCTTTATCGCTGTTCTGCAATAGAAACATACACTGTTGTCATACATCGCTCTGGTATAATAGAAACATACACTGTTGTCATACATCGCTCTGGTATAATAGAAACATACACTGTTGTCATACATCGCTCTCGTATAATAGAAACATGTGCTGTTGTCATACATCGCTCTGGTATAATAGAAACATGTGCTGTTGTCATACATCGCTCTGGTATAAAAGAAGCATACACTGTTGTCATACATCGCTCTGGTATAATAGAAACATACACTGTTGTCATACATCGCTCTGGTATAATAGAAACATGTGCTGTTGTCATACATCGCTCTGGTATAATAGAAACATGTGCTGTTGTCATACCTCGCTGTTCTACAATATAAATTATCGCTGTTGTCATATATCGCTGAGCTATGAAAGAAGCTGGCGCTGTTGTCATATATCGCTGAGCTATTATATAAACATGTGCTGTTGTCATATATCGCTCTACTATTATATTAACATGTGCTGTTGTCATATATCGCTCTACTATTATATAAACATGTGCTGTTGTCATATATCGCTCTGCTATTATATAAACATGTGCTGTTGTCATATATGGCTTTGCTATTATATAAGCTTGCGCTGTTGTCATATATCGCTGAGCTATTATATAAGCTTGCGCTGTTGTCATGTTGTTGCTATGTAGTAGACTGTATTTTGAATTTTATTTATTTCGTTTATTATGTAATGCACACATGGTTTTATATATCATATATATATATATATGTATATATATAGAAAAAATAAAATTAACGACCGACTAAAAAACTAGCTGCTTTCACCCTTCACAGGGCTCTTCAGGTTTATTCAAAAGAGGTATATATGTATATATATATATATATTAGCTATGTGTATAGACACCTGTAACACCTGTATGTACCCTGAGGCAAAACCCGGACCAGGTGAGTATATGTTCTTGTACATTGTAAATGTCGTTGTGCTGTGCCGGTTCTGTCCAGTTCTGTCCAGTGTTGGTCATGTGCACCTGTCTAAAACCTGTTTGTCCTTATTGTCTATTTATATAGTTAATTCTGTTGGATAGTTTGTAGGTGTGTCTGTATGTTGTAATTTTATTGGTCCTGGGGTGATAAGTGTAGGGATAATATTCTGGGTATTTGCCGCCAAAAAATCAGTACAAGAGAAAGCCTTCAAGGGAACAGGTGTTTGTTTGCCTGCTGTTCATAGCATATTTGAGAAGCCATTTGTTAAAGAAAAGGTATGTCTAATTTAAATTATTGATAGTGCTAGTTTTTATTTTAAAAGCATTTATATGATTAAATGAAGTCTATTTGGTTAAAAGTAAATTTCATTGTGCTTACACTGAAACTTGTGATAAACTTGAATATTACTATTGTTACAATTCGTTAATTTTATTTTTTAGAGATTTATACTGAATAGGATAAGAGAACCTGTGTTTGTGATAGCCTCCATTCCATAGATGGGGTATGTGTGTTCATGTTAAACTGTGTGTTCATATTATGCGTATTTTTGTAAAACACGTATTTTTCTTATGAAGTATCTTTAATTTTGATTCTAAGTA